AATGTAAGACTTCAAAAACAACTTTCATTGTTTGAATTTTATTTGAGAAGAACTGCTGACAAGATTAATGGTGAATTCAGCTATTTGATATTTACTAAATCCATACAAAGACTACAGAACATTAGCAATTACCAGAGATCATTACATCTACTTCTACTTCTAATGATTACTGAAGATTAGAACAGTGACTTAAGCACAGTTATTTTGGTACCAAATGCTAAAATTGTCAATATGTTTCTCCAGAAGTCTTAAGTCAGGGGCAGGCAATCCTTATCCATAAAAGATCAGAAAACATCTAAGATTTTGCAGACCAAAGGGCAAGGACAATTATGTAAGTTGTTTTGTAACAAGAGAGAAAACAAATTTGTACCAATTTTAATTGACGAAATTCAAACCATAATAACTGTGCACAATTCTTTTTTGGTAACAAACGTCAAATGAGAAGAATGGATTTTCCTTCAGGGATGAGAATAAAATTTGACATGACTAAGATCCAAAGATACAGCTCCCTACGATCAAATCTACTGCAAATATTCATCTGTAACACTACCAGTTACTGAACCACTGAAAGCATTCCAGCCATATTTACTCTGTCATCCCTTGTTTTAAGTATTGAATGTGAGAAACAGGTTTAAAAAAAACAAAAAACACTACTGCTACAAACCCTTAGATCCCAAGAGCCTACTTCTAAGTAACAGCAGCTAATTTAAATACTAGTATCTTCAAATTTCTTACCATAAAGTACCTAATCTTTAACGTCATTTCTATAAAGCAACTTATTCTTCCTTGACTCTTACCTAAAAGGTAGAAGCAAAGACCACTAAGCACAGATGAAATTTAATCTCTTTTAAAAATTTTGACTATATGAATTCAAACTACACACAAGCAAAAATATGGACAAGAGCGTATTTTTAATCAGAAACCAAGGAAACAAAGTAATCAAGAGTAACTGATCTGAGAGTAAAATGAAATAATAGTAAGGTTAAAAAGGAGAAAAATGGAGTTTTTCTGTCCAATGTGTGAGTAGGGAGTTAATCCTCTTAAGGTTTTATAAAAATTCATTTCCAATTGCCTTGGCAAAATTAATTTGAAGTATGTTTAGTTTTTAAATTCATTCTGTTACCCTGAATAGTATCCTCATCTGCTTTTAACTTCATGACTTTACACTGAGACGCTTTTGCAAAAGTTAAAAGTAGCATCATAAGTAAACTTGTACAGCTCACCACTAGCAGCCCTATACAATAACCTCTGTGACAGGAAGATGTGCTTGACTCCCCCAGTGTCAAATGAAAAACAACACTTACTTCATGCTAATAATAATCAGTAGATACTAAAATCTTATTAATAAACATAATCTATGTATTAAAAATATTTTCATGAGTAGTAAAGTTGACTGTTTTTCTAACAGACTCACTGTACTTATGAAAAAACTGAAAAATCAACTATTACAACATTTAAATCTAACAAAGAGAACAAAGAATATCAAATATAAACATTATAAGGTGTAAACATCTAACATCGTTTGGAGGAAGTCTGAAGTATACAAAAAGCTTCAGTGTCAGCGATTCTGAGAGAAAGTTGTTGATTTCACACTTTAAAAATTGGGGGAAGGGGAGGCTGATGTGGTGGTTTAACAGGCTAATCATCCGCCTATGGTGCCAGAATCCTATATATGCACCAGTTCACGTTCCAGTTGCTCTACTTTTTTGGCTGGGGAAATCAACAGAGGATGGCTCAAGTCCTTGGGCTCCTGAACGCACGTGGGAGACCTGCAAGAAGCTCCTGGCTTCAGATAGGTCCAACTCTGGCCATTGCAGCCATTTGAGGAGTGAACCAGCAGATGGAAGACCTCTCTCTGTCTCTTTTCAAATAAATAAATAGATCTTTTAAAAAAAATTGGATTACTGATCTTAGTACATTAAACTACACTACAAAAATATTTTGATTTGATGTCACCTTTGCCGTAGCAATGGTTTTTAAAATTTCAAAACTAAAGCAATCAACTAAAAAGATTTGAACAATCTCTGCATGGAAGTAAACTTTGCCAAGAACCTCTCATTGTTCATTTACATTTAATAACCCTCTATACACATTAAATGAGTGATTAACAACAAAAAGAACCATGTGTACCTTGAGAAAGTTTCCTAGGTTCTCCTATTAACTCCAGACCAGTTCAGAACCACTTTTCTGCATATGTAACAAACAAATTTGAAGTACTCATAATAATGGATTTAACGTGCCCAACTACATATTTCAGTATCTACCTAAAATTCCCAGTTATTCCTGGCAGTCATTTCCTGGGGTGCTAAAGGCAATACAATATGAATGTGCATTATGTTTTATATCATATAAGTGGGTAATCACAGAATTTTAGAGCAGAGCAAAAACCCTGGAGATTATCTAATCTGAATCTTTTGGTTCTTCAGGAAAGGAGAACCTACAACATCCTACAGATACCTTACTCATACTGCTTCTAGTTCCCACATGTCAGAAAACATGCAATATTCTACATATTTTATAATAAGGAAACTGAAGCTAAAAAGAAAATGCCTATAGTTAAATTATAGAAAACAACAGAGCTGGAACTTCAATTCTTTTTTTTAGATTTATTTTTATTGGAAAGGTAAATCTTACAGAGAGAAGGAGAGACAGAGAGAAAGATCCTCCATCCACTGGTTCACTCCCAAAGTGACTACAATGGCCAGAGCTGAGCTGATCTGAAGCCAGGAGTCAGCAGCTTCTTCCAGGTCTCCATTGCAGGTTGCAATATCCCAAGGTTTTGGACCGTCCTCAACTGCTTTCCTAGGCCACAAGCTGAATGGGAAGTGGAGCAGCTGGGACACGAACTGGCACCCATATGGGATCCAGGCAATTTGGGTTTCTAATGGCACAGGAGGATTGGTCAACTGAGCCATCATGCTAGGCCCCAGGACTTCAACTCGAATGCCCTGACCCTTAACTTCAGTGCCCTGTAATCTGAAGAAGCTGCAGCCAACCCTTTAGGTAATTCAAGATTAAAGTATTGCATGAGAACTACTTAACAAATTTCCATCTCACCTACTACTTAATGTGAAGAATACTTTTTCAAAATCCAACAAATTGAAAGGTAAATATCTTCACTCCCTAGTAAATATTAAGAGCAACTGAGTGGTAATTTAGTAATAGTCATAAAAAATTTCAAAGTATTACTACTACTTTCATCTTAATATTTTAAGTCTAAATAAGAGGATTTAAATTTCTATGTTAAATATTTTCTTCTACTTTGCTGAAATTACAGAAAGACTCCTGGTGTCACGGGAAAGCTTACAGTTAGAAATCAAGACATCTGTGTTTCTGTTCCAATTTTGTAATACTCCTGTCTACTGTTAAATCTCAACCTTTCTGAGTATATTTCTCATCTCTGATTAACTGAGCTCATCATAACTGAGTGCCAGGCATCTTATCTAACCTGATTCTAGGTCTCATATCTTACAAGAGACCCAGTCTTCTGATAGATGAGGTCTGGCAGACCAAGCTTTATAAGAGACCTAGCTGGTTAGCAGATGACTAGAATCTAACTCACCCAGCTCCTCGTGGCCCCCAGCTGCAGCCCAGGATCCTTACAGGACACCACTTTGTTCAAACACAACAGAAAACATGAAGCTGCTGAGGCTGGGAAGACAAGAGGTGCCACATTTCGAAGAGGCACTATGAGGGAGTTGCAATGATCACATCAGGGCAGGAGTTGCGCTGCGCCTGAGTAAGCCACCTCTTGGGATGCTACCACACTCCACACAGCGTCCTGCTACGGCCACCTGAAGGCAGACCTGCCTGGTTTTCCTGGAGAGCTGGAAAGTGTAGCGCAGGGAGGAAGCCACCTCCTTCGGTCTCTAGCTCTCTCCCCTCAACCCTCCGTCACTGTTTCTGCCAATCTGCATGCTGGAAAAACATACTGTGACACTTTCCCTTATTATTACAGTTAAGATAATTTTCAATAAAATTTTCTATTAAAAAAACCTGTCAACTGGGTTTTAGAAATACACTGTAAATTAAAGTGAGAAATATGCACTTTCATTCCTATTTTAGCAGTAAAAATAAAATTATTCCTAAAGTACCTTTAAATCAAATATAAAAATAGTAAATATAAAAATGTGAGCATGTGTGTGGCAGAACATTAGAAACCAACAGAAGCTGGGAGCAGTTCTGGCCTTTTCAAACAGATAAAACCGCCTAAGCAGGTGTTTAATACAGGACGTGCACACACCGTCACCCCAGCTTACCACTGCTGCGTTTGCACAAACCCACTGAGATTGCTGCTCTCCAAGTAGCCGAAGCCTGCCCTGCAGAAGCTCCTCTGGGTTTCACAGACGTAAAATGAGCAGTAAAATTAACACCAGTAACATTCTGTAGTAGGTAGTGCACCAGTGCCTGCCTGTGTGTGGGCACTGGCTGTTTTGGTAAGGTGTAAGCAATACTGTGAGAATGTGTGTGTGTGAGAGAGACAGAGAGAGAGAGAGAGAGAGACCGACCTAGGGCATAATTACTAACAAATGCAGCCCAAAAGCAACAGTTTTTGCTGTAAAATGTAAGTTTCAGGTTTTCACCTGCATCTTACCCGACAAGTAGCACCACCTAATTAGTTCACAATGAAAAGCCCGTGTCCTCACACGGGTGACGCGTGACCGAGCTGCTTTACCTGAGAAGCCGGACACCTGCAGGACTCTGGGTCCTCTTCCCAACCACGATCAATGCGTTACCGGCTCTGCATCCTGACACCCTGGACCTGGTCACCTTGCGGGACGCCCCGGCCCCCAGCGAATCCCACAAACGGACTCAGAAAGACCCACCTTCGGCATTCAACATTCACCCCGCCGCTTCCCGGGGGCAGGAGGAAGAAAGGCCAGACGCGCACCTGCCAGACACCCGCAGCAGCACAAAGAGGAAGCGGAGGCGAGGCCGGGGCAGTGTCCGGCCCGGCCCGCCGCTCGCCCCCGCTCCCCACCGCCGGCCCCGGCCCTCACCTCGATCTCGCGGATGTTGTTGGAGGTGACGAAGATGCCGATGCCAATGGGGATGAAGATGAGGCCGATGATGAAGAAGGTGGGCAGCACGGTGCCGGCCGTCAGGATGGGCTGCCAAGCCGGCAGCCGTTGCTGTTTGAAGGCCGTGTTATCCGGTCTTCGGGTCTTCGTGGTGCCCCCGGGAGCACACGGGGGCCCACCGTCCACTTCATCCTTCGCGTTATAGTTCATCGCCATCGACCCCCGGGGCGCGGCTCCGCGACGCGCAGGTGGACCGTCCAGGGGGCCCGCCTGCTGACCCTGACAGGAGACGCGCAGGCGCCGCCGCCGCCGCCGCCGCCGCCGTACTGGCGGAAGAGGCGGGACACTCTTCCGCAGACGGCCGCTGACCGGAAGCGAGGGACGGCTGAAGACGCCAGAGGGAGGGAGAGAGGAAGGAGGGAGAAGACGGAGGGACAAGGGGAGGGGGAAGGGGAGGACGATGGACGGGGGAGGGAAAAGGGGGACGCACCCGGATCATCTGCCCTGTGACGACAAAGTGAGGGCCTCTGCCCGCAGAGCGTGTGGCTGCGTTGACGCATGCGCGGCGCGGGGGCCTCGGGGGCTCGGCGCTTGCGCCATAAGGCGCGTCTCGGCCGGGCCGGGCGACGCAGCATTTGCTCACACGCCCTCCGTGGGGCTTGGCGACTGCACCCCACCTGGCCGGGGCCTGTCGTCACCGCCGGGGCGGCTGAGCGCGACCTCCGAGTGGTGTCTCCAGAGCTGGACAGGCTTCCCGTCTTACCGCGGCTGTTGGAACACTTGGTAGGACAGCAGGTTATAAAACAGACTGGGCCTAGTTAAAATAATCCTCCACAAATTTGAATTGAGCTATGTGGTCGAGACCCTGTAACAGTCAATGTGTGGGGCTGGTGACCCACCGGGTTAAGCTGCCTGGGTTGCAGTCCCTGTTGTCGGCTTGTGGCGCCGGGGAGGTAGCCGATGATGATCCTGAGACCTGCCCCCGTCGCCCAGAGACCCGGAGCGAGTTCCAGGTGTCTTGTGCAGCCTGGCGCGCAGTTAGAGGCATTTGAGAAGTAAACCAACAAGTGAAATCTCTCTTCCCCCCTTTCCTCTTTGCACTCTGCCTTTCAAGCAAATACTCATTTTGCTTTCATTTTTGCTCACGGTACTTTTCTACTTTTTTGTGTCTTGCACACTATTTTTGAAGTGTTGTTAACTAACTGTAGGGTTTTTTTGAAAAAGTTGATGTAGATCGGAACATACTCCCTGTAGTGTTACTGTAAAATGGAATATTACTAAGTTAATATTTTTAAATTGTAAAATATTTACTGGTCAGAAGAAATATTCCAAAGTAGCTAAGTCTGGATACCAACACAATGTAGACATTATATAAATAGCTGAAAAGCAGGTAATGACTTTTGACTGAATAATGTAAACTCACTTGATGGGCAATTTTTCCACTGCTGCTTTGCACTTTCGTGCATTTTCCAAAATTCCTATAATCTGTATTATATGTAAAATTTTAAAAAGTTAAAATCCATATTATACTGACATTTTAAAAATCCAGACCAGGGCCCAAAACAATGGTTCAATGGCTAAAATCCTCACCTTGCTCATACTGAGACTCCAGCTGCTCCACATACCCATCCAGCTCCCTGCTTGTGACCTGGGACTGCCCAAAGCTTTGGGACCCTGCACCTGCTTGGGAGACCCTGAAGCAGCTCCTGGTTCCTGGGTTCGGATGGCTCAGCTCCGGCCATTGCAGCCACTTGGGGAGTGAACCAGTGGATGGAAAATCTTCTCTGTCTCTCCTTCACTCTGTAAAAGTCCAAGTTTCCAATTTAAAAAAATCTTCATGCACACTACCCAGTCACTGAAACCAATTTGAATCATTTCCAGTTTTCCCTGAAACTCATATTGACCAAAATGATAACATATTTCCCAGCGACCCAGGATTACAGATGGAAATGAAATGGGTTGACTGGATGGGTGCCAGAAAACTAAAACACGTCAGACATCACAAGAACCTAACAAATCAGCAAATCTTGAGGCAATTTGAGCAAGTAATAAAATGAGTAATTTTAGTTCTTTCTTCCACATTCCTTAAGCTATCTAATAGTTACTCTCCTATACTTTTTTTCTTTGATGTTATTACTTAGTTCAATGGCATAACATGAAAATTGAAAGTTGTATGAAACTTGCCCTTCAGAAGTTAAACATACACAGCTTCTCAGGTTGTTGGGTTTGTACCTGTTCTATCACTTTGGATTTTATTCTGATATTTCACATCTCATATTTATTTGCTTGCATAAATGTTATTCAGCCACATAAATTTTACCTGGAATCAGCAGGTGGATGATCATTTGAGTAGCATTTAAACATTGTTATCCATACTCATAGTCACTCTTTACACAACAGTTTGAAAATCAACATTTTGATGACAAAAACAAGTATTCTCTTTCAGAAATACATATATTTAAATTTCTAGTTCAATATATGAAATGAAAACTGCCTAGTGAAGGTTGTCATAAAACAGTGAGTATCCAAGGTTGTTAGGAAGGTCTGAGTGTCTTGAAAGGATGTGGAGGTGAAAACAATGTTAGCTGGTGAAGAAGCGTGTAGTGGCACGGCACAGCTGTAAAAGGCAGTCTCCTGTCTTCCGTCTCACCCTCACCTATAATCCAGAGAGAATCATTTGTGACTATCTTTGCTGCAAGCCAAATAGGTCTTGTGGAAGTGAAAAACACAGATTAGGAAAAACTTAGGCGTGATTGCAGATCTGTATCAAAATGAAACATTTTAAAATTCTTTGCATATACTTTTTGAAAACTAAAGACTGAAATATTTCTTAAGATTGCAATCAGTTTGAAAAAGTGTGTTTTGGAAATTATGAGCACCTAAGTTTTTACTTTCCCTCATTTATCCTGTAAAAGTTTGGCCATTGGCTTTCAACTAATGTGTGAGAAGTGGAGCAGCGAGGACATGAGCTAGTGCCACGTGACTGCTGGTATTGCAGACTGCAATAACCTATTGTGCCATAATGCTGGCTACTGATTTATTTCTTTTAAGGAGTTCCAATATATGCTTGAAGGATGGCCTTTACAACATAAACTTAAGTGTGAAAGTTGACTTCAATGAGCCTTAGAAATTAAAAATTTTTTTTACTAGATGCCACTAAATCTGTATGACAGCATCGTGAGCTTCCCTCCAGCCAGCACACTGTGAAGCACTATGCAGCGGTCCAACGACCTGTTCACAGTATCATTTTTATTGGTGCCATTTTTTCAAGGCAGAGTATTCTGCACAATTGGTTTCTTCACTCATAATTCAGAGGCTCACTACTTCATATTCCACTTCACCTAAATTGCCTCATTAGCTAATTCACACACATCTGTCAAGGTTCAGATTAGTAGACAATAAAAGGAATATTTCTTTGACTCTTGGTCAGTTTCATGAGTTGATCTCTGCACCCAAGGAAATTTGCACATACCATTCTCCTTGAATTTCTGTGTAATATTGAAAAATAACATTTTTTCCACCCTCCTTCCTACATAGAAGCTCCTCTAGTTTAGATACTATTTTTATTCATTGCTGAATCTCAAATACTCCAGAGTGTTTGCAAAAGAGAAGGTACTAGGTAAATCCTGTTGAACTGAACTGACCTATTCAGTAAACTCACATTTTACAGGGAGAACCTTGCCAGGAAACAATTAAAATTCAATGATATCAATATAATTTAGATTGTGCACAAGAGTCTGTACACAGTAAAGAAGTACCACACCTCCTGCTCTCTATGATGTCAAAACTTAAACCAGGGAAATGGGTATCAATGCAAATTATTGTACTTCTCCACCCAGGAGAGAAGAGGATCCAAATAAAGAAACTTAGACAAAGTTGAGCCTAATACTACATGTATTATTCATGCCATGCAAGCCTGGGTACCCTGAGTGATCATGTTCTTTTACTCAAATAAATATCAGCAGACTGTGGTTACCATGGAAACAGATCTCTCTAATGCTCTCCATTTCTGAGAACTGCTGAATTGGTTCACTTGTGTAATCAGTTTGTTCCACTGCCTCTTGCACCAGAGCTCCTCGTAGTAACCATTCTTTGTGAAGTGAAACTCAGAGGGCACACTTAGGTTAAAAGAAGCCTGGACTGGTTGCCATTTAAGAGATCTTTGTCTTTTCAGAAAATATATCATCCTTTAGAATTGAGGGCTTCTTCATGATTAATCTAGGGGATGCCCACATGAAAGTGTCAGTGGGTATAGAGGCTTCTACAGAGGAAACATTGACAATTACAAAGTATGGTGAGGAAGATGACACACAGGACACTGTCAGTGTCCTGCCCCTGAAGAAGCAGTTCTTTGGGGTTTAGAGCCCCTAACTAGAAACACCCTGATGTTTTCACCAAGCATATGCCAGGCTGTTAAGCCGGAGACAGTGTAGGGAAGGCCAGAAAGGCCAACACAGATTGTAAGAAGGAAAATGAGCTGCAAGAAGAGTGGAGAAGGCATCTTTCTAGCAGGAATTAATTGTGTGTGATACATGTCCATCAAATACATACGCAAGTTCTGTTTTTAAAAGACTTATAAGTGGGAGACAGCTTTGTACACCAACATCAATGGATTTCAGGCTCCTAAATTTTTTTTTTTCTCCTTAGAGATGCTGATCTCTGGAAAAATACTGGGCATAATGCCAGAAGAAACTAAAGGATGACTAATTGTCCTTAAAAAAGAAATGACTCATGAACATCAATTAACTAGATTCCTATATAATATCTGTGGATCAGGTTGCTGTTGCCTGGAATATCCAAATTAGTAATGGATTCCTCAAGTGATGAACTGAAGGGAAATATCAGTATTTTCATTTACTCAATCATATATTTTAAGCATAGATTTAAACAATAGGTTTTAATGATATACTTTTTAATTGTCACGATTTTAAAAAGATGGCTTTTATTTATTTGAGAAACAAACAGAGTTAAAGAGAGCGAGCAAGCTTCCATCTGCTAGCTCACACTCCAAATGGCTGAAAAGGCCAGGGTTGGGCCAGATCAAAGCCACGAACGAGGAGCCTGGAGATCTCTTATGTGGGTGCAGGTGCCGAAGCACTGGGGTCATCCTCCCCTAATTTTTCAGGCACATTAGCAGAAACTACATTGGAAGTAGAGCAGTCAGGAAATGAACCAGCACCTATAAAGGCTGGCTCCGGGACCCACTGTCTGTGCTTCTTGATTTGTTATGTGAGACACCAGGCCACTGGGGCCACCCAATCTTTGATTTTGAGTCTCTAAAACTGTGAGATTAAATAAAACTTTTGTAAGTATCTTGTCTTACTTATTTTCGTTATGGTGATAAAAAAAACTGACAGGCAAAGGGAGTAGCCTATTGCTCATTTATTTCTAGCTGAAAAGAAAGGAATAAATTCATTCAAATAAATGCGATATTTTAAAAAATCATGAGATTAATACATGAGTTTCAGCCAGTGTGTTTAAACAATGGACACCAATAGGCGTTCTTCAAGAAGAGC